AATGCAGAAACCTTGTAAACTACCCGGGAAGGATATGGCTTCACATCTTTTCAATCCTCCAACATGCTGCGCCTAGTATTACGACAGGCATGAATGAAACTTCCGGATGCTATAGAAATGGTACAATGTCATTTTTGAAAACTACGAAAAAAAAACAGATACCGCCCAGGTGGAGGGCCTTCGTGTCGTAGATCTTACTCAAGTACATGTCTGGACCGCCTTCTGGTAAGACGGTGGTTTCAAACCTGAAGTCATTCAGACACTAACTTGGCTAACTACTGACTCTCATTCAGCAAGGTGCGTGGTAAATGTGAAACAACGACAGATCATGTTGGCACCGGGGCTGAAGTCACACCACCCCTCACACAAAGCCAAAAAACCAGTTCGTGAGCTGAGGGATCCAAGGCTGTTGCGCCAGTTGGTCAGCTGGCAAGCGTTTGGTATTCGGCCTGGGAGTCTTAGCTGCGCTCTCCGCACCACCTCCCTGGGACTTTCGTTTCGCCGGCATCAGCACTGAATGTCTACAAGTTTTCTCTTTGAACTTTCTTGGCTGCTGCTGAAAAACACTGCTAAGTTTGGTAATGAAATTAAGATATGATTTATTATGCCACGTGGTGTGTTGCGCCGAGACGGCCAAGAACTTTTCACAGAGCGTCGCCTCTCAACTACTGTGAAACATTGGGAAAACTGTCTGTCCTCAAAAACAGGCTGCGAAACTTTGGGCGTTTGAACCCAACTGGAAAAGCGATCCATGAAACACTCTTTGTTTTACAGATTTCAACAGCCTCGAAATAAACTAAAGAGTGCTGTGCATTGGTGAACCAATACGGCAAGAAAGCCTCTTTGCCATCAGTTGGATTCCATCACTTTAAAATCAAAACCACAGCATGACAACTTGGCAGCATATTAAACATATCATAGCGCAGCTTTAAATTTGACAAAGTTAATAACATTAAAACTAATTCCAATCTTGCCGGTGAAACACGCAGCCTTGATGAGACGCAAAGCTCGGGCGCTGCATTACGATATCCTTTGTGGATATTGACTTGGTGCATTTGGCTTGCCAATGTTCAGATAATTCAAAAAATATCTTAACTTGGCGCTAGTCTCCTATGACTATTTTCGTCTTGAAGTGCTATGTGGTTTGTGTCTGTGACCATTTTGTGCTTGACGCGCTATGTAAGTTAAGACGTTATTTTGCCTGGGTTGTCTGTTGTTTCTGTGGTGGATATCTTCGAATAGACAGCACATCCCTTCGGCTTTGCTTTGGTCTTGTGTGTAATTTGACATGATCATGTTTTATCCTATGAAAAACGCATTGGCTGCTCTAAAGAATCCCTTGGCGTTGTTCGATGACGGCTACAAAAAATGAAAATGGCGCGTTGCCATTGAAGTGCCTGTAGTTCGTTTTTAACATCTCACAAGAAAAACTATCAAAACATGTCAAAACTATAGCTGATAGATCTTTACAAAACGCTCACCGTCACTGTCACATAAAAAAGACCATCTTAAACTTAGTGCATAATAATCTGAACTTAGTTGGCTTGCAGGCCTACTACCAAGACTTGTGAAACACACAGCAGATCGGTCTCTGGCTGCGCCATCCATCAAAGGATCATCAAACAACATTAAGCAGAGAGCGCAATAGCACTTGCAACCTTACACACATCACTTTCATCCACATCCGGCGCAGCCAAACGGTAATCTTCCAAACGGGCAGCAAACTGCGGGAGTCCAGTGGCTGTCATTTTGCATTGGCAATGGAAACTGGGACATTCAGCAGTAACAGTTAAAGATTATCTGGAAACAGCAGTTACAAACGCTTTGCCAGTAAAGACTTTTGCTTTGCACCCCTGATTGCAATCCGAGTGAACAAAGTAGCATTTTGCCTGCATAAAACTTGGTTGAACGAAATGACTCAATGACGGATTTTCTTTGCAACCACCTGATTGGAAGTAATGGATTTTGTTTGCAACAGGTTGACCGGAAGTGACGGATTCTCTCTGCAACACCTGAACCGGAAGTGACGGATTTTGTTTGCAACATCTTGGCCGGAAGTGACGGATTTTGTTTGCAACATCTTGACCGGAAGTGTTGGATTTTGTTTGCAACATCGTGGCCGGAAGTGACGGATTCCGCTAACATCAAACACTTCGTCCAAATATATCCCTGGACAACCCTAGAGGTTCTAAGATATGAAGATCCACCCCTGAGAAACTTGGAGCTCCGAGATGTGAAAATCCATTCCTGAAAAACGAAGCTGAAAGATAAACAGTAAAATCCGTCACTTCAACTCAGAAACATGCAAAACAAATCCGTCACTTCAACCCAAAAAAAATCAGAGTTAATCCGTCACTTCAACTCAAAATAATGTAGAGTAACTCCGTCACTTCAACCCAAAAAAAATCAGAGTAAATCCGTCACTTCAACTCAAAATAATGTAGAGTAAATCCGTCACTTCAACCCAAACAAATGCAGAGTAAATCCGTCACTTCAACCCAAACAATTGCAGAGTAAATCCGTCACTTCAACCCAAATAATGCAGAGAAAATCCAACACTCCAAAGGGCTTTGCAAAAACAGGCTCGAAGTGTTGAATGTTGTCGGGATCCGTCACTTCAAGCACTGGCCGGGGGAAGGGCTCGAAGTGTTGGATCAAACCTGTGATCCAACACTTCAGGTTAGGTGGAGCTTAGGTGTGGTAAGTGTTGCAGTTTTACTTTGAAGATATTTCTCACACAACGCAGTGGAAGTGTTGGATCATAGCTGTGATCCAACACTTCCAGAGCCTCTTTGAAACCTAGTGCTGAGTGACTGATCCTAATTTAATTTCCAAAGCAACCCCCCGTAACTTACGCTGCCGCACCCTAAATGCCATAGGGTTTAGGGTTTAGGATGCCGACAACTTATGTTTGATATTTCGAATTTCCCAAATTCCTTTCGGAAAACGATTGTGGATTAAAAAAATGAAGGCAACCTAAAAGCAACATCGTCATTTTCCCTTGCCTTTACCTTTGCCCCCACGTTTTTTGGTGGCCAAAGGTTTCTTGGCAACTGCCTTTCCTGCGGCCACAGCTTTGGTTGCCACCCTGAGAGCTTCAGCCCACGGCACACCGTGAGCCCAAGCTTTTGCTGCAGCTTGGTGAGTGATTCTCACACGCGCACGCTTCACATAAGAAGCCACAACCTTTGCGTCATCAGCGTTTGGATTCACCAACCTCGGCTGATTGCTAAGCTCAAAAAGTCAGAAAGGCTCAATCATGACTGAACAAAAAAGACTTTGCAAATTCCAATTCTAGCATTTGGTTGCTTTCGTATGGGAAGCAAACATTTTCCAAACCAACATGCTGGGGGTTTCCAAGTTAAGCTGCAAGGATATTACTTCGCATAATCCCCACCAACGGGCATTTTATCTGACATTCGGAAACAAAATTGCTTAGCGTTTTTCCAATGTTTGATTCAGGTACAGTAACTATTTGAATTTCAGTTGCAATAATCATTGGTCCCATTAGACAAACACAGATTGCTACGGACAAATTTAAAATTTATCTAATTTGAAGATTCAACTCAACTTTTAACATGAACTTTAAAGGTTCAGTGATTGGTGAAAAGTTTTTTTTTTGGACAATAAATTTTGGTGAACATTTCCCTACTTTTTAGCAATGAACACGAACATTTTCAACCCTAAGGTCTATCTGCAACATTATAAAAATGCATTGCATTTGTTATTTAATCGAGCGCTCTATCTCGCAAGAGATAGTTATTTTTTGGTATGAATGGAACATAGATTAATATTGAATATTGCGCATTAAATTATGATTTGGCATACAACCTGAGATCATGTTGTTTGGCAACCAACTGCCACATTTGACATATATTCTGACAACATCATGGTTTCTAACATGTAGTCCGACAGTCTATTTTACATTTTACATGATGTAGTGCATGATGTTGATTCCTTTTGGTTACAAATCTATTTAATGAGTGAGTCCCCATTTTATTTTGCCATTTGTTTTTGACTTGAAGGTAAGACTATTGACGAGTAAAAGCGCTGGGCCTGACTAACGGCTCAAAGAATTATTTTCAATAATAATTACTAATTACTGCAAATTTCATTGTTCGGGTCCGGAGAGGCCCAGAAAGCTGGCGAGGTTTGAATAGGGTTCAGGTCCAGCGTGGCCCAGAGAGCTTGCAAGCTCGCCATTCTGTTCGGGTCGGGTAGGCCCTGAGCTTGCCTTTCAATTTCTGCTCGGTCTCCAATGCGCATGAACAAGAATGGAAACAATGCAACCAGACTCAAACTACACTACACACCCTCACTTCACAAAGAAAGGGGAAACCCAATCCAAACACACCCGGCACAAGTGCACCAGAAACTTCAAGATATTGGGCTCAATGTAGAATGCATCCGTCTGGGCTCTAGAAGCACTTCCAAGTTGTTGTGGGCCCGGGGTGATCATGCACCTAAGAAGTTCAAGGCCCCTGACCAAAAGAAAGATCAATGCCCCCATGTGGAAACATATTGTGGGTAATCAACAAAGGTGCTTTGAAAACGGCAAAAGTCTAGGTCACAAAACGTGGCACGCTCTGACATCAAGCAAGGGCGAGCGCTCCCAACTGCCGTCCAACCACGATTCTATCCAATCTGCAGATCTAGAAAGCTGGTAGGGTGGAAACCGGAGGGCTGGCAGATATTTCTCAAGGTGTTTCCGCTGGTCAGCAGAGATTGCACGCTTGTCAGCAACACCTTGCCATGGGTCAGGTTTTATGTTGGATCCAGTGATGCATCCTGTGGCGGATCCCGTGATGCCTAGTGGTGCAACAATTAATTGGAATGCAAGGCTCAATTTAAACCAAATACTGGCCTGCAGGAAGCCCAACTGAAAGACGGTCGAGAGCCAGGTGCCGAGGATACAACAGGACCGTGTCTGCAAATGCTTTGTCGGCCATGTATCGTTTGGTCCTTAAGGTTCTGACAAGGTCCACCACTACGCTTTGGGGACTGACAGCTGGCCCTGGTTATTAAAGAAACGCTGAACAAATCCAGTCCTTAGGATCACATCGTCAGGGTGCTCCGGGTAGTCCCACAAAGTCGAAGTAATCTCTCTGGCCTCAATACCTGAGCCCGGTTCATGAAATCAAATATCCACGGTGATTGTGAAAAGCATCGAGAAAGCGACCGGTGGATGGACACTATGACTTGAATGCTGCCATCAGTAAATTCACTGCCAGACTGCTATGATTGCCATTGTACGGATTGTACGATGATCCCAAGAAATAGGTGCCGTAATCAAATTTCAAACCAATTACTCTGGGTGTAACTTGTTGGATGGAAACTTCCCTGTTAGCGACTGATCTCGCTCATTACATTTGGGGAAAATGGTCACTGGATTTGCAACAGATAGGTGCCAGATTCTGCACGTCGCTCCATGCGAAAATAATGAGGTGCTCCACTTCCTCCAATTCCTTTCAATCGGAAAGGAACACCGGCTGCCAAAAACCCCGACCTGGGATTTGTCCACCAACGGCCAAAATCTGTGCAAAATTTTATGGCACTCAATGAAATAACCATTCTGGTTTGGATTTGGCACAACATGTTGTAAACAATCAGTGGAAGATTTCTGTCTGACAAATCCCCGAGCTTTTGGCGCGTGCTGTTAGGCAAAAAACTATTGGGGTGCTTCGCGGCAAAAGGAGATAGATAAAGAAATTCAAAGCAGTGCCCAAGTCACCAGTCTCGCACTGTATCCATTCTGATGACTCTCCTGTCCTTCTCGTGGGGCATGTGCGCCTGCTGCAAAAAATCGTTGATGGTGTTGCACACATCATCCGGGGTCTGCAGGACAGGTACTCGTTGAAGGTGCTTTGACATCCTTGAAAACATCTGATCGATATCCTCATGGGTGTGACCTGTTCTTAAAAAAGAACAGGTCACACCCATGAGGTTTTTGGAGGATATTTGGCTTGCACAGAACCGTAGTCCACTGTGATTTTTGAACTCTCTGCATGTGTTGTCATGTTGTAAAATGACATGAGTCTGCGACAGCGGGACACCTCTTTGCTGCAGGTGCGTGAACATGTGTGCCAAAATCTCCACGGATGCGTTCCCATCCTTTTTTGTGTCCGGTGCGGACACTGCCACCATACAACAATGACCGTGTGCGATGCACCCGGTCACATGCATTTTGACTCGCTGCATGTTGGAGAAGTCTTTGCCTTTTAAAATGCGAGATCGCGGTAGGTCCCATTTGCTTTGGTCCATACCGTCGCAAATGATGCAAACGGTATGACCTCGCAACCTTGACATTCCACGCGCTTCCCAGTATAGCATGCGATCAGAATATTGGGCACGGAGGTGTTGATGGAAAAGAAGAAGTTGGGCTTTGCGGGCCCCGAGGTGATGACCAAGGCCGCGTATCATGGTCTGATGTTTCACGCAAATCTGGCAAATTGAATGTTGCCCGTCTTGACGGATCCGCAGGAATGGAAACTCAGATAGCCACACCTCAGGCACTAAAGGTTTAATCCGTGGAATTCGGAAATCATACTGGAACCCAATTTTGCGGAACCTTGGAATTCGGAAATCATATTGGAACCAAGCCTTGAACTGGAACCCTTCATGAATGCTTTTGGTACCTGGTGGAACCTTGGAGCGGCGGAACTTTGGAACCGGCAGAGAGTGGAGAGACGCGTGAATCGTGTAATCAGAGACTTGGAACCCATCAGCATCTCCGATGCCCAGAACTCACGAGACTGGAACCCAATAATTCAGTCCGGAACCTCAACACGGAGCCTTGCGGAACCATCAGGGCGCCGGGTCGCTCGCATAATATGAATTTGTTTCGCGTTGTTTTTGGTTCTCTAAGTATCAAATATTATTGTATCATGGCGCGCGCGGTCTTATTGTTAATATCTTCAGAAACAACCACCAGAAATTGTTACAAAATATGTTGGGGCAAAAAATGTATCCAAATCACCTTCCAGAAGGTCGGAAAAGCAGCAGGCTTCTCCAAGTTGGACACAAGCTTGTACTGCTCCCAGAACTGCTTCATGGAACCGGGCGGGAGGAAGCGTACTTCATGGGATTCACATTCCTCCAGTGAACTTAAACGGTCAGGATTCATCTCTACACCTCGCCGTTTCGTGTGGACCTTTTTCTTCTTCGGAGGTGGGTGGGCTCTGGGTGGCAAATCTGCGGGGGCATCATCCATGTTCTTGTGCAACTCAATCTCATAGGCGTCCAAAATGACTTGGCCAGCGTTTGCTCCTTCACCATCAGCAGGTGCGTCAGAGTCCCTGACATCTGGAATGACTTCAGCAACGGACTCGTAGATTGAGCTCAAATACGAGACGCAATCAGCTCTCACACTCTGAAAGTCCATCATGGTGTGCGCTCTTGGTTTCTTCAAGAACCGAAGGTCAACCGGAGCGGAGGCTGCGCCTTTTCTCGCAGCGTTGAACAGATTCGTGCAACGCTTGGAACCTGACATCCAAATCCCGGGGCTTTAAAAACATGTCAACCACACTCAACGACTCAAGGGGATGACCAATCCGCCTTTATACTTCCATGCGAAAAAAGTTATAGTATGCAGAGAGAGACAAGAGGCCCATGCTGTGCAAAGTTTTCCAAGCTCGGCGACATGTGCGAACACCATCCAGATACCAAATGATCGGAGCATCATCTTCGGCTCCAGAATCAGTAATCATCAGCTTCATGCAGTCAAAAGCCTGCACAGCAAGAAATTTGGCAAATAAAAGGGGCTAAGACGAGTCAGCTCCCACCCCCAGGCAGGACAGCGACAGGCCCTAGACAACTTCCCAAAGTGATTGACACAATGAATACTAACTGAAAAAATTGTCTATAATAATTAGCGGCTCAAGATTTGGAAAGGGCTGGAGCAATAATCACAATGTAAATGGTGATCATGGCCGATTGAATTTGGAAGAAGAAAGGAAACAAGTAATTAAATGTCAGACATGTTCACTGCAAAGGGCTTGTAATAAATTTTCCCGTTGGCTTGCCCAAAAAGCCAAAGACACCTAAAAAGGACTCCCCCACGGTGGCAAGCCAACGGGAAAACTGCTACAAAGGGCAACTTGACGGGAGAGAGTTGAAAGAGGTTTCGAAGATTCAACGGCAAAAAATCGGCCGAGGTACGAAGGCATCTTGGTCAAGCTTCCCCAAATCAAACCAATGTTCTCGATAAGACATCAGCCTCTTAAACAACTCCGGCTCAATGAACTGCTGCAGACAAGTCTTCTTGCTGCATGTGCACTGCTTCCCGAGCAGCGATCTAAGGTACAACTCAGAAACCTTGTCGACTGGGTCAGGTCGTTGGGCAACCTTGCGTTTCTTTGCAGGGTGGCCTTGGGACTCCTTTGGAGTTGCTGGCACTTCCCTGGCCTCATGTTCGGATTCCGAGCTCAAGCTGCACACGGCATCGGTTTTTGGCATCACGGCTGACTCCCGCTCAGCTCTAACTGGTTAATTACCTGGTTCATTCACTTCAAACCTCTGTACTAACCACTCTTTGAATGCGGCCTGCCTACTAACAGCAACTCGCATCATACGATAATCGCTTGTTGACTTAAAAAAAACAGCAATATACTCAACGCGCTCAGATCCTGAGTAGGAGTTGGCCAGCAAATCTGATAGAGAAAGTGTGGCTGCAGAACAAAGCTCGGCTGCTAGCGTTTACCATCAAAAACCGCACTAACTTTGAAAGTCCGGCCCTTGTCAGCGCATTTCTCCAAAAATTGCCATGTCGCATCCATGTGGGGGCTCTAGCCAGTGCCTAGCTCTAGGCACTACCAAGGCTAGCGACTTATGAATATAGTTGCCTGCGGGTGAGTCCGCCAACGGCATCAGGTGTAATTATCCATGATTTCTCAGGCTGGAATGACAGTCATTGTCTCCAGTCACAAATAAAAGACGGACGGACAAACCACACTTGTGGTGGTTCTCACAAATCTCTGGCGAGCCTGAGTTCAAGTTGGCACATTGATTCCGGCATCTTGATGGATTACTGGTACCAGCTCGCAGCAAAAAAAGTGAGAACACAATACATGGCAAAACCATGCAAAACCAAGTGGTCGAACAACCGTGTCCCTAACCAGCCTGCACCCCGGGTAGCAGTGAGATGAAGCGACCAAACTCGTCTTGATGTAAATGCCGAAGGTGGTCCTCGGTTCTTGTTCTTTGGTCTTGAAGGCATGCCAAGTACACAGTTGTTAAGCCTTAAAGATGTTTTACAAGATGGTTAATGTAACTTCTCTCAGGACCATTTTCTGCTCTTCTGTGGCCCGGCTCTTTGCACCACATGACTTTAGCTTGCAAAATGAAGCAACCCCCCTGGGAGCAACGACGTCAATCGTTGATAAGAATCAACTGGTTACATATCTTGATTCACCAAGTTAAAGGTCTTCTGAATGTTCAACTATTTCCTCCCCCAACTCACAATCTCAGTCTCCTTCCGATTGTACCCAGCCAACCGCGAAACAGCCGGGTGCACCAACATAACCGTGTGAAATCATCTCCTGCAAGGTGCACGGTTGCTAGCCACAAAACAGCTGTCATTTGAACTCACTCTTCAATGTCAGAAGAATATCACATGCTGTAGCCAGCGCCAAAGAAAATGGACTATAGGCAGCAGGGTGTTGTCTGACCAAAACACTGCGCAGAAATCACGGATTGTCCTGGCAGCTCGCTTTGAAAGTGGCAGCAAATGGACATCGAAGGTCAAGAGGCGCTCTGCTCACTTAACCGCGGCATGGCGAACTTCTCACCACCGAGACCCTATTACCCTGGAATCCAAAATAAGCTCTGATGGAGGCATTCGGTTGATTGAAACTCGGCGTTTCACAGTCACGCTTGCAATCACTGCCCCCTGCGGGCTGAAGCTAACAACATGATTCCCCCCAAAAGTTTTGCATCGCGACAGGTATCATCTGAAACAGTTTGAATTTTAATTGAACACTACTTCTCTTGTCCGAGAAGGAAGGAAGCAGAAACAAATTAAGTACGGCCACGCTGTCTCCTCCAAAAAAGTTCACACGACATGGCCATGCTGGCCCACATTTGAAAATGGCAAGTCCCGACTTGAACGCAACAGCATTCATCTTGGAAAAGACTGAGGGGCATCACTTCAAGCCTCATCGTCAAAGGCACTTTCACGTGCGCGACGGTGGAGGCCCAACAAAGTTTCAAAAGCCAGCTTTGCTTGGGCTGGAACAACGGAATTGCCAAGCATCTTGAGGCGGCCAGAATGCCCAGATTTCTGGCTAGGATTCAGCCAAGTGTGCATGGGCTTTGCGTTCAAAGAGTTCCACTCGGCCACGCAGTGGTCAGCAGCAGCCAAGCATTGGTAGTCCTGCAGCACGGTTTGCCGAGCAGGGATCTGCTCACCCAACAGCGCATTTAAAAAAAATGCACCTGTAACCCAATGGGAATGATGGGAGCGCCTTGCCTCCCACAACTTGCTCTTGCGGTTGGCGCACAGCAGAAAGACTCGTCCTCTTCCTGCCTGCGCAATTTCTCAATAACTTCAAGTCTGAAGTTACCAATGTCTTGAACAAAAGCTGGCTGATGCACGGTGCTGAAAATCTCAGGGCCCCACGGGTAAGCCACAGTTGGACAACTTCAGCGAAGCCCATTGGCAACTGAGGCCGCGTTTGCGGCACTCCTGGTTTGAGACTGGCAGGTGTTGCAACACTTCTTCAAATGCGTCTCCTAAACCTTCACGGTCACAGATCCGAAAATTAAGCCAAAAAGCGTACCAAATAGTAAGTAGCCAAACTGATTTTGGTTGCCCTCTCAAAACAGGCCCCACCAAATTACCAAAAATCCATGGGTTTTCAAAAGTTTCTGTGGCACTTGGTGGGGTCAGTCCAACCCAGGTGAAAAATCCGAAAACAGTAACAACCTAAACTCAGAAATAGATTGAGATACACAAAGCACCCACGTAACTGAACAAACACCATTTGAGCTCGAAAATTTGACACTATACCTTAGGACTTCAATGGAAAAGCAGTCATAGCAATAGAATCCAACAGGGAGAAACTGTGCATCACACTGACAGTTAAAATAAATCTATCATCACAGGAACAAAGAGAATGGTAAGTTTTTTTATTTTTTTTTTTGGCTGGCTGCCACGCTTGTAAGCTGCTTTCTGTTTCTTACCTGTCACATTGCTAATTTTCCACTTGGGTTGGTCCCCCAAAAAAGGCCCCCACAAGTCCCAAAATCTTTCATAAAATGCAGGGAAAACACTGCTTTTTGGGGACTTGTGGGGGCCTTTTTTGGTGAACCAAGTGGAAATTTACCATGTCACATCATATCATTCGGCAACACAATCCTCGACCACGTATGCCATCAGCGCCCTGGTGTTCTCGTTGCACGAAAGCAAAGCCATCACGTTTTCCAGTATCATAAAGCACCTGGAAAAAAGAAGATATGAGAAAGGACTGTCAGGAAAAAAGGTGCAAAAACTGCATCGTCACATCAAACAAAAAGAATTTCAAACAAACAAGTCTGCAATCAGGATCCATCGAATCCCAAACTTTGAAAACCATCTCGATCAACCCACTTCTGCTATCAGCCAAACCCTCCTGCGATCCGGCAGCAGACACTCCCTGGGCGCCAAGGTAAGATGCAAACAAAACTCTGACCAAAAAGAAATCACACCCGGCACTGTTAAATGATCTTTCAAAACAATCTGCAGGTAAGTGCAGCTAATTTGCTTGGCACGGAAAGCCTGCGGTCAAACCACAAGCCCCCGAGCCCTTGGCAGAGAAGCCTCGGACATCTTCAACGACCTCCCCCTGATGAAGGAGGCCATCCGCTTGGCGTGCCTTCAACACAGCAATGCAACTGGGATTGCACTCAACCTCGGCCAGAGAATTGCTACTGCAATGCAGGGCCAACATCAATGACATTAATGCCATACTTGAAACAATTTGGAATTGAAAATGGATCAGCACCCAAAGGTCTGGACGTACTTCGTTGCATAAACCCACCTTGCCATGACAAGATGGGACCAGCAGTCACAGTAACCAAAAAACCTTTGTGCAGAAGACCCTGCATCGGTAGCTTTAAAAAACAGTCACGGCAAATTCACTTCGCAAATTTTGTCTTGACGCGCGCAGAGTTGGTATTTAGCTCTCATTCGAGGCTATCAGCGGCAGGGGCTAGTCGGGGTTTCTTCACTGGCGTTGACGCATCGCACGCCTCCTTGCTGCAGGAACTGGATTTGACTGACCAGTGGATGAAAGGTTTGTGCAACAAATCAACCCAGCCTTTGGCTTGGCAGAGGGTAGGCCATCTGGGGCTTCAACAAGAATCCACCCTTTTGAGCTGTAGCACCAAGACCACCTGAGATGAAACAATGAAAACATCATTGCATCCGACCCTTATTCATGAGATAATTTCCCAAATTCTTTCTACTGCAACTTGCACTCAGATGAGCTGAGGAGCCGCTTCCCACCCCAGTTGGTGAGCAAAGGGGTACCCTTCAGCACCCTGACAACATAAAAACATTGATCTCACTACACAACAACGAGCTCAAAACCTCGCAGCAACCCAGGACATACCAAATTTTGGCTCACCTTTGAATGGCCTTTGCAATCTTTTTTGGAATTACCTGCACAAAAAAAACAGCCACAAAATAAAAGCAACACCAGCACGACAGCACATGGGAAACCGTGGCAGTAATAGAAATGAATACTGATCATAATCAGCAACAACCAAAACAGCAACACCACCACCACCACCATCACCACCACCACCACCACGACAACAACAACAACAACAAGACCAGCAACAACAAGACCAGCAACAACAAGACCAGCAACAACAACAACAACAGCAACAACAACAACAGGAACAACAACAACAACAACAACAGCAGCAGCAACAACAGCAACAACAGCAACAACAGCAGCAACAGCAACAACAACAACAGCAGCAACAACAGCAACAACAGCACCAACAACAACAACAACAACAACAACAACAACAACAACAACAACAACAACAACAACAACAACAACAACAACAACAACAACAACAACAACAACAACAACAACAACAACAACAACGCTAGCACCAAACCATAACCACAACTAAGTATATATAAGGTTCGAGAAAGTCTCTGCAAGGCAAACAATCGCCGGAAAAAAACTCAGCTCCATGGAACTCTATTAAAAAAAAAAAACGGCCATAGATTGTACCCAAGGAAAGAAAACCCCATGTATGCCAGGGATGTATGCCCATTTTTTATTTTCAGAGACCTCCATGGAACCCGATACAACTAAGAGCACAATAAGAGAAGTGGGAAAGACATCAAGGGCCCAAGAATGCCGCTAATAAGAACATACGTAATTTTGGCTCTGTCTTTGAACCTCAGCCTGAGCAACCAAAATGAGCTAAAGAATTAAAACCCGTCGTCCCTAAAGGCATCCAAGCATGACCGCACCAAAAACGAAATAAACTGCTGACAACACATCGCACAAACATGATGACGCTCCCTGCCTGATCTGGTTCACCCCAACACATCGCACTGCCACATAATCTGGTGAGGACGGGGGCAGGTTCTCGCCAGCAGGATTCATGGCTGGCAGGTGGATTCTGAAAAGTGTTTGAAGTCTCTTGGTGTGACACGTGAAGCCTAGACCTGAAAGGAGTGGACAATTTGAAAAGGTCCTTGAGAAAAACATGAAATATCATGATGTTAAATTCTGACATGATCTGCATGCAAAATCACTTAAAATTTAAATGATTTAAATGTTCTCATGATCTGCATGCAAAATCACTTAAAACTTAAATGATTTAAATGTTCTTTTGTCATGCTTTTCAGCTCCAACTCGCTGTGAATGAGCACTGCGAACAGTCTATGACAGGCTGCAATGCATGACGCGTGCTAGCGGTTACTAGCAAACACTCACATTCTCCTGAGGGAAGCACGGGTGTAATCCAATCTCCAGGCCAGCTATGCCAGTGAACAAAGAAATGCCGGGCAGTTTCCCATCCTGCCGGAATGAAGTGCAGAAACATGATGCGCAATGCGCAATCTGGCAAATTCACCTGACACGACACCAGAAGAAATCCTTGGTGGTTCTGGCTCCGGGAAACATGGCATCAAACACACGATGGCTCACTGCCCCTGGAGTAGGATCCGTCCAGTTGGCCGGAAGACCTGCAAAACATCAATAAATAAATTGAAACGTGGAACAAACCAAAGGTCGCTTTCAACTTGGTATTCAAATCTGCCCCCACCTCCAAACCACTCTGCCACCGTTGGGTCTAAGTGGCGGCCAAGTTTGGGGTTGACTCCAAATTTCTGGCAGTCATGGCGGTAGGCAGTACTGCACTTGACCTGGTTGCTCAAATCCTCAGCAAAAAATGAGTCAGTTGTTGGCAAGGAGTCTGAAATACTGATGGCTTCATCAAAACAATATAATGATGGTGAAAGTTGTGTTGAAATTCATCTTCAGTCCCCAACACTCACCCCACGCGTTGATACCAAACTCTTTGTAGCCGAGGTTGTGCTGGAGAAACACCCTGGGTAGAAACCAAGTTTCAAATGCAAGATGCACAATAAATGAACAACTTAACTAAACAATTTGCGATGTTGAGGCATGGACTCATGCATGACCAAGCTTTGAAAATCTTGGTGCCACTAAAGACCTTGGTGCCGTCCTTCTTCTCGGTCTGCTTGGTGCGTTGCACCTGGAAGCAGCAGCAAACCCCAAACGGCATGGTAAACTGACAGAAACTGACAAAATAAGTCAGCGCTCAAAAAATCTCAACAACCGTTCTCATTGTCAGACCGACATGCTGCCAAAATTGTGAAGAAAACCTGAGGTCCCAGCTACCTTCAAGTTCAAAGGCTGGGTCTTGGCAAAATTCGCGTTGTAAGGGGCAAACCAAATCTTGCCATCAGGTTTGCTGCGGGCCCACCCACAGGCCGGCAAAGGCTTGTCAGGGCGCGCTGGAAGAAAAACAACTTCCACAAACTTGTCTTTCTTCAAAGATGGTTTGCGGACAGATCTGGCAGTTGCTCGCTTGCACTTGCCCTTCCCACCTCGCTTGATGGCTGCAGCAGGGCGGCGTTTTGCCACTGGAACCCGGGCCTGGCCAAAGCACGCAGAAAAAAACATCTGAGACGGTGACACTATCTGCAAACCAAAGCCTTGAATTCAAAACTATCTGGTCCAATTGACTGTTCTTTGTCTCAAGGTAAGCTTGACGCTGGGCCCTGCCTTCGGCTGCTTTTGGCAAGGCTCAAGCTCCTCCATTTCTGACCTGATTTTTTCAGGACGTACGTAATGACACAAAATTTATTAATCAAAATTCGTTCCTGCAAATGAAATGCTTTATGTCATTGCGCTGATCAACTGGGGATGTGGCCCGCTGAGTTCACTCACTACCGTTTTGCACGGCATGGTGAGGGTATCTGGCTGGGAGCTTACGGAAAAAAATAGCTGCAAAAGGACGGCCGCCAGAGGTTCAACAAAAAACATTCAATGTCCCAAAATACACGTGGTGCCTGATGCTTTTCAAAACAATAGCCGGTGCCGCAACCAGCCATTCTCACTAACGATTCTCTATCCCAACAGCTGCAAAAATATCAATGCTGACTGTAAATAACTCAGAAAGATGCTGAATCGGAACACATCAATGTCTAATCACCTTCCATCGGCTAAAATTCCCACCGGGCAGGTCCAAATTAGTTAGATTAAATCAATTTAAAATTCACCCTGGGTAGTAATATATTAATCTGGACTACTTCGATGAGCCCCACCCTTGCCAAAAGCACAACGCATGCTGCAACTTCGGTCATCCCCACCATGTCGTGGGCATTTTTATTTTCCACTGAAGACTGTCACACCGTCTGCAAAATGAAAAGTGAAAGCTGCACTGCGGGAGGGTGGGAAGCCATGTGACCCATGTCAACATTCAAGTATTATTCTTTCAAGCACTGACCACGAGAGCTGCCAAGGAACTACCACATGCAGTCCAATCAATCCTGAAAACATAGTGATTGGACCCCCATATTTTGAGGACCCCATTCAATCTGAGGACCCCATTCAAAGGAAATTTTCTTATCTCCTGAATGGCTGCAAAACGATCCGCAAGGTTGGTTGAGGACATGGCTAATCGCACACGGCACTGACTTAGAAGTCTCGATGGGCTGATTGCTGGATTGATCCCGGAGAACTTCGGCAACTGCTTCACTTAAAGTGCTGATCCTATCTGACGAAACATGACTTGAAGAGTTGGCTTCTTCAGGTTTATCTACATCAGGCTGGATACTCATTTCCCTATCTACCTCAAGATTTTCAGTGTTGATCTTCAGTGCATCTTGGTGCGACACTCTGGATGGAAACTGGGACTCTTCTGGCTGACATGAGCAGACATTCTCGGCTTTCAGCATTGGTGTTTTGTCGGACTCAGCAGGTCTGGGAGGTCGCAACGATACTAGCTCGGAGAAATCCAGCAGAAACAATTTCTTGCCAGAAAGGGTCAATGGCATGGTGCAGTCCAACTCACGGAAACATATGGTTTGATTGGTGGTGTCAATGACCGCTCCAAGTGATCTGCAAACATTGTTTGAAATCAAAAAAGGTGTTTTGGTGTCAACAACTGCAATCTTGATCCAAAAACGATCCACAGGCACCATCAACGCCACTCGACATGGGACAACGCTGTTGTTGCCGAAACGAAACGACATGTCCACAGGCTGTTCGAAGACACGACAGCGAGCTGATTCAGGCAGCAGTCCTAGAAATTCGTCAACCTGATCCCGACCCATTACGGTCTGGGATGCTCCAAGATCTAAAATTCCAGTGGTTTGGTGAGTTGCAAACAACACGGATTGTTCATTGGCTGGAATCTCTGGCACATTCATGGAGGCTTCCTGCAAATGAGCACTAGTCGGAGCAGCAGGCTGAACACTTGAAACTTGGGATCCATTGGCGGATGCATGCACGGAGTCATTGCTCCAACTTTCAGGCGAGGGGTTTGTCTCACTGGTACCATCTTCATTTTTCCTGGAGGGCGTTCGGACACCCATGTGCTGGCACAGGAAACTTAACCTATCCCTGACTTGTGCATAGAACCGACAGTGGCTTGGATTTCCCAGGCTATTCTTATCCCCCTTATGATTAATCCCTTCACACGTGAAAACATCATGGGAGTGTGATTGTATTATGACATGAGACGGGTCCTGGACAGACTGCAAGACATCGGATGCATCATGGACAAAGCTTTCGACCAGGAAAACATCGACTTCCTCATCGTCTACATCAGTGGCAGAAATCATCATATTCGCAGGCTGTGTACGGGATCCTGAGGAGTTGCCGGTCACGGCATTCTGGGTTCTTCGGGGGCACTCGGCTTTCCAGTGCCCCTTTTGCCCACAGATCCGACATTCTGACTCAGCAATTCTGACAGCGAGAGGCTTTCTGCCTCGGGCATTGAATCCCTTCGATTTACCTTTCTTGCCACCACCTTTGGAACGAATTGGCCAGAAGCCTCTGAATTTTGCTTTCTCTGTCAACTTGCGGCGAGCTTCAACGTAGGAGTTCATGAAGGCGTTCATTTCTCCGTCAGATTGGATCGTGTCGATGAGGGCATCCCCAAATTGCTGCACAACAAGTGCGTCCTCATCATTCTCTGACAGAAACTGTTCCATGGCATATTCAGATACATCGGCACTTTCAGCTGAAAAACCATACTGAATCTCTTCACCATAGAAAACGTCTTCATCCAACTCCACATGGTTGACATCATAGGTTTTGGTCCGACTCTGTTTCACATTCCCTTGAACCTCCTGAAAGAACTTTGCCCCAAGCATACGAATGGCCTTGGTGACTTCCTCATACTTCAGGTGTCCTTGGGCCTCAATCACCACGCGCTTTTTGTCCTCAGAAACAAGGGCAGAGTTCCTCAGCAAGATGTAGGCTCTCATGTCACTAAGGGTTGCTCCCTGACTGATCAAGTCTTCAAAGAGAACTTCATGCCGGGCCAAGTATGACTCATTGGTTTCATCGGATTTCTGGGAAATCCCAAAAATTGCTCGTTCGAATTTCTCATATTTGTCTTCAAGGACCGTCTTTCCCCACACTCCTCCAAGTGTGGTCACAAGGAGTTTGACTCCATCTAAGCTGTTCACCTTCAACTTCCCAGGGTCCAAACGTACGACCTTTTGAAAGGCTGATCCTTTGCACTGCAACGCTGCTCGTGGAGCAAGTTGGTTGAGATGCTCGCTCGGCCAAATGCCGGCTAGAAACTCGAGGCGTCTAGCATACTCTGCAAGATCCGTTTCTCCTGGGCTGAAATGAGGTATCAAATGCCAGGGAAGCTGTGAACCTGTGGTGTTCCCAGGCTCGGAAGTTCCATCCATCGACATTGTGGACACAAACTCGTTCCAAATCCCACTGGATCACCTCCTTTTCAGGATAACAGAGCAAAAAGTATTGGACCTCAGACAATGGTCCTTGCTGATTTCACCAAATGCAATCCAGTTGTATGTTCACCGCACAATCCTAAGGAGCCAGTTGCTCCGCTACCAATGTGGAATGTCCACAATTGGTAGGGAACTTCCAAGGAATGATGTTGATGTTCGGATCAACCAAGATTGAAACAGGCAATAGCAATAAGGAAGTTGTAAAGGATGGTCCCCTGAACCTCAATGATATTGGCCACTCCTATGGCAACAGCACCGACTCTCCCCAAGCTAAAGTGCAGCTGGCTCAGAATGTTTTCCGCTGAGCTCACCAAGTGCACAAACCCCTCGCTTGGGCCTAGAAGATGGCCACGAGGTATTTGTTAACCCCTTTGCTGGCTGGCATGCAGGAACATGACATCGACAGCTACCCCAACTGGAGAGTTCAGTATGGAAAGGGAATATATATTGAAATCACAATATACTTATATATATATGTGTGTGTTCTTAAATATATACTTGTATATTTATATATTTATATATATATATATATCTAATAATACACTGGTAGGACAAAAGTTGCGCTTGTTAGTTTAGCTTCCGGCAGTGAACATGTTTGGCTTCTTCTTCTGCACGCCCTTTCCCCGTAGAATCTTTGTTCCTCCTGATATATACTGTATATATTATTATTATGATGATTATTATTATTATTACCAGTAGTACCGCACAAGGCGGTGGCAGAAGTTTCAAAAATAGGAAACCTGTAGGAGAGCTTGGTTGTTGTGAATCAGGGATGGCAGAGCGAATCCACTGATGGACCGAAAGGTGCTTGAGGTCTCCTCTCTTTCTCTCTCTTTCTCTGACTATCTACTTACCTACCAGCCTATCTTCTATGTATCTATCTATCTATCGATCTATCTATCTCTCTCTCTTTCATCTCATTATCTATCTTTCTGTCTATCGTACCTATCTATCTATCTATCTATCTATCTATCTATCTATCTCTCTCTCTCTCTTTCATCTGTCTATCTGTCTAGCTGTCTACCTGTCTATCTGTCTATCTATCTGTCTATCTGTCTACCTCTGTATCTGTGGTGCAGTGTCATTCAGTGTAATGTAGTGTAGTGTAATGTAGTGTAGTGGAGTGTAGTGGACTGTAGTGTAGTGTAGTGTAGTGTAGTGTAATTTAGTGTAGTGTAGTGGAGTGGAGTGTAGTGGAGTGGAGTGTAGTTGTGTAGTCGTAGTTGTAGTTGTAGTGGAGTGTAGTGTAATGTAGTGAAGTGTAGTGGAAGGTAGTGTAGTGTAGTGTAATGTAGTGTAGTGGAGTGTAGTGTAGTGTAATGTAATGTAGTGTAGCGTAGTATAAATTAGTGTAGTCGAGTGTAGTGGAGTGTAGTTGTGTAGTTGTGTAGTTGTAGTTGTAGTGTAATGTAGTGTAGCGTAGTATAATTTAGTGTAGTCGAGTGTAGTGGAGTGTAGTTGTGTAGTTGTGTAGTTGTAGTTGTAGTGTTGTGGAGTGTAGTGTAGTGTATTGTAGTGTAGTGTCGTGGAGTGTAGTGTAGTGTAGTGTAATGTAGTGTACTGTAGTGTAGTGAAGCGAAGCGACATCTGAACCTCCAAAAGTGACGCGAACATTTGGTTTTTTTAACATTTTGACTTCGAAATGTGCTTCGGGCCACAACCGCGTGCACTTTTTCGACAGCTCAACTTCCAAAAGTGGTCCGACCATGGTGTGTTTTGTCCATTTTGACTTGGAAATGTGCTTCGCGCCACAACGGCGTCTCAACTTCCAAAAGTGGTCCGAACCTGGTGTGTTTTGTACATTTTGGCTTGGAAATGTGCTTCGCACCGCAACGGCGTGCACTTTTTCGACATCTCAACTTCCAAAAGTGGTCCGGAGCTGAGGTGTTTTGTACATTTTGACTTGCAAATGTGCTTCGCGCCACAACGGCGTGCAATTTTTCATCTCTCATCTGGCCAGCTGGCTCCGCACCCGCCGCTTTAGCCAGCCTACTTTTCGACCCTCCGGAGCCACAAATCATTGGAGAAACACAGTGTTTCGCGACGTTCCTACCTTTTCGCGCACCTGCATCTTCTTTCTTCTGATCTTTTCTCTTCTGACTCTTCTCACCTCTGCTTTTCAACTGTCCATATTGTCGGAAGTTTCACTTCTAAACTTCCTTCGGATATTATTTATTTCTATTTAACAGTGTACCTCAACAAGGCGGTGGCGGCAGTTTAGATTAGGAAACGTAGGCGAGCTTGGGTTGTTGTGAATCCGGGATGGGCAGCCAGAGCGAATTCCACTGATTGACCGAAAGGTGGTTGGAGTTGTGTTTGCTGGAGTGGTTGCAATGGTTGCAGTGGTCACCTCACCCACACCTGCTGGATGTAGTGTGATGTACTGCAACTGTAGTTGTAGTTGTAGCGTAGTGGAGTTGTAGTTGTGGTGTAATGTAATTAGTGTAGTGTAGTTGCAGTCATATAGTTGTAGTTGTAGCTGTTTTGTAGTGGTAGTTGTTGTGTAGTTGTAGTTGTAGTTGTCGTAGTTGTAGTTGTTGTTGTTGTTGTTGCTGTTGTTGTTGTTGTTGTAGCTGTAGTTGTTGTGTAGTTGTAGTTGTAGTTGTTGTGTGGTGTAGTTGTAGCTGTTGTAGTTGTAGTTGTAGTTGTTGTTGTAGTTGCTGTTGTTGTTGCTGTTGTTGTAGTTGCAGTTGTAGTTGTTGTTGTTGTTGTTGTTGTTGTTGTTGTTGTTGTTGTTGTTGTTGTAGCTGTAGTTGTTATAGTTTCGTTGATAGTTGTGTGTAGTTGTAGTGTAGTTGTAGTTGTAGTGTAGTTGTTGTTGTTGTTGTTGTTGTAGGTGTTGTTGTAGTTGTAGTTGTAGTTTTTTGTTGTGTAGTGGTAGCTGTAGGTGTTGTAGTTGGTAGTCTAGTTTGTAGTTGAGTTGTAGTTGTTGTGTAGTGTAGTGTAGTGTAGATTTGTGAGTGTAGTTGTAGTGTTGTAGTTGTAGTGGATTGTTGTGGTTTTTTTTGTTGCTGTTGCTGTTGCTGTTGCTGTTGCTGTTGTCGTCGAAGTTAGGGTAGTTAAGTTAGTTAAGTTAGTCAAATTAGTTAAGTTAATCAGCGTCTACTTTTTCGACATCTTCACGTCAAAAAAGGCTCAAAACCTTCAGTTTTTTACACTTTTGACTTCGAAATGTGCTTCGCGCCACAACGGCGTGCACTTTTTCGACACTTTTTCGACATCTGAACCTCCAAAAGTGGTCCGAGAATGGTGTGTTTTGTACATTTTGACTTGGAAATGTGCTTCGCGCCACAACGGCTTGCACTTTTTCGACATCTCAACTTCCAAAAGTGGTCCGAGAATGGTGTGTTTTGTACATTTTGGCTTGGAAATGTGCTTCGCGCCACAACGGCGTGCACTTTTTCGACATCTCAACTTCCAAAAGTGGTCCGAGAATGGTGTGTTTTGTACATTTTGACTTGGAAATGTGATTCGCGCCACAACGGCGTGCACTTTTTCGACATCGCAACTTCCAAAAGTGGTCCGACCATGGTGTGTTTTGTACATTTTGACTTCGAAATGTGCTTCGCGCCACAACGGCGTACACTTTGTCGACATTCTCAACTTCCAAAAAGTGGTCCGGAGCTGAGGGTGTTGTGTACATTTTGGACTTGCCAAATGTGATTCGCGCACAACGGCGTGCAATTTTCATCTCTCATCTGGCCAGCGGGCTCCGCACCCGCCGCTTTAGCGAGCCTACTTTTCGACCCTCCGGAGCCCCAAATCATTGGAAAAACACAGTGTTTCGCGACGTTCCTACCTTTTCGCGCACCTGCATCTTCTTTCTTCTGATCTTTTCTCTTCTGACTCTTCTCACCTCTGCTTTTCAACTGTCCATATTGGCGGAAGTTTCACTTCAAAACTTCCTTCGATTATTCTTATTATTATGATTAATAATAATAATAATTATTATTATTCTATATATATATATATGGGATAAACTCACGAATCGGGAACTTACTAGCCGCCGTTATTCACCACTTACGATTCGTGGGATGATCCATGGTTAGCTCCAATTGGTGACTTAAAAAATGATATGGTTGGTACTGACAATGACCAGCTTTAAGCCTCCGGAATGTTGACCCATACCCCAAAATCACATGGTTCAATGGGTTTGCAGGAAACCTTGGTCTTTAATCGAATGTTGATTCCCTTTGTTGGCGGTAAAAAAAAGTGGATTTTCGCAT